ATACTTGGTCTGGGTAAACAACAACTAATTGGTTTATCTCTCATTTACGAATTACGAAGAACTTAATATTATTCTTAACTTCTTAATTCATTATTTGATGTAACTTTCACCTAATAGCTTCCTGTTATACCGACGTTATACCGACGTGGTATCGATACGTTTGTTCACGATCAAGATCGACCGTCATTTTCGAAGCTGTCGCTCTCACTTTCGCGCACCCGATCTATGCCCTCTCATTGGTCAGTGTTTTTTGCTAATAACTCGAAAATGGAGTGTCAACCAATTTTGGCAAAGGAAAAAGCTGTTCAGAATTGCCCCACCTACCACCCCTTTTCGGTTCTTACAGTAATTGTGGGACACCCTGTATATTGTGTATTTAGTCGAATAGACGTTACTATATTTTATTACATATTCTGTAAGTAATATATTAATTAATTAATTCGATTTTATTTCAAGAATATGTAATGGTAACGTTTAACTTGTACGTATCAGAGTACAACTAGTTTTATATGTTATCAAGTTTGCATAAAATATTATTGCATGGTGCAGATATAATACAATGTGTTGGTTTGCCCATTGGGATGTTTTCGGAAGAAGCAATGGAGGCATGAAACAAAGATTTCCGAAATATCAAAAGAGACCACACCCGAAAATTTTCGCGACTGGAAACATTAACGGACCTTTTTCAAACTTTACTCTATACATCCAATATTTTAATATCTTCAGTTTCGGCAAAAATCAGAAAAAACTATAAAACGCGTTCCCGTTTTAATATTTTCAAAGATGAAATAGAAAAATTAATATTACAAGAAGACCTACAAGACGACGACGAGTACGATGACACATAAATAATAATAAATAAATTTTAGATTAATAAGTTAATATATTGTAAAAACCTAGTAAAAAATGTATCTATTTGTATTAATAAAAATTGTTTCCAAGTTAAAGTTATGTTTACGTTAATAAAAATTATGCTTATAAACCAAACATCCACATTGAGAGTATAGTATATTCACTAACTTTTTGAAATATAACACTTATTTTTGGTTTATTTTTAATTTTTTAAATAATCCGGTGTGATTAAATGTAATAATAATACTTGTTTTAAATGCTGGAACGACGCTGCGGCCGCTATACTTTAATTTCAAGTCTTGAAATAACGCTAAAATTGGCCGTGAACAGCTAATTCGATTCGCCTTTCCAGCTGCTCGTTCGGGAGCGGAAGTCAGAGGGGGTCAAGAAATAAACAAACGATCCGCGAGTATCTAACAAATGAGAAGCTTTAATTTGGGCCGCAACAGGCCATTCAAGTGAGACGGAAAAGAGCCCCACACGGTACAGAGTACGGCCGGGAAAAAGGTCGCGCTTGCCAATTGTGAAGGGGGATTTTGCGGCGCAAGGGCTCACGGTACAAATCGAGAGATACGAAAGAAAATCGGTAAATGGACGCACGCAGACAGAAGCACGCCCTCTTGGGGGTCATGGACAAAAGGAGGGTGCTGATCCTAGATGCCAAATACAGATGAAAAAAAAGTAACTGCAAATAATACAACGATTTGTGGCGCCAAGCGGTACCGATAAATCCGCGGTACGCAGCCTTTAAAGTCATCGCCGCTGGAGCTGGTGGTCCTATCACCCGGTATCACCCGCACACACACGATCGCACACCCACACAAAAAGAAGACTCGTGCCAGGAGGCAAAATCTTACCTGGACATGTAGGTGGCCGCTGCCAACGACCAACGTCTTTTTACTGTGGTCGGGAGAGATCAGGACTTTTAGTACACTCGCACTCACAATTACAAAAAAAAGAAGAGAAAACAGATGAAAATAGAAAAGAAGATAACAAAAAAACAAAAAAAAAAAACGAGAATAGGGGAAAAAGTGGGACGGCGTGGATAGTTGACGAAGTTGACGGTAATGTATTCTAGCCGTCGTGACTCGCTTGCGTCTTGTTTCTTTTGGCGGAATCCGCTGCTCGTTTCCCGGTGCGCGGGGTTCTCTCTTCCTGAGGATTTCGGCGTCAGGGATGGGCCACCGCGCTCTTTCTGGTGGCCAGGTTCTGGAGACCCCTCCGGGTGGTGGCTGATCCCCTGGCCTGGCATTCCTCTGTACTTAGCTGCTTGTTGCTCTCGCAGAGGCTGACGGGTGGCCTTGTTACAAGTTATGCGGCACGAAAATTGGGTTTTATTGGTTGGATAACAGTAAAGGATTATAAAATTTGTTAACTAAAATACTTTGTATAATATAATAAATGCTTCCAAATATAAATCATATTTATGTAGTAGCCACTTCTTATAAATTATATGGCAGACAATAGGACAATTTTGTAAAGAATAATAACAATAGTAACACATTAACTTCATGGTATTTTTAATAGAATAAATTTATGTTTTAGTAAAACACGACGAATAATATTCATATTATTCAATGATAATATATATATCAATAATAATATTCATTGGAAGCTGGAAAATTTTCCTTCTTTATGTGTGTCTACTCTTGCATTTACTTTTGTAACGTTCCTGGAACTAAGCTCAGGCGTTTACACCACTTGTGAGGTAAAGAGTGGCTTTTACCTACTGAGTGGCTCGCTTTTACAATAGCTACATATATCTAAAAGGAATGTGGGATTCGTGTGGTGTGCGGTTAAGGAGTGAAATCCACAAGTCAATACCTTTCAATAATTAGGTTCATTCAGTTAAGAGAATTAGGAGAATGAATATTACAATTAACAATTATTATTGGAGGAATATAAAAGGTGTATGTGTCTGATTGTTATAATTCTGTGAAATGAACAAATTAAGGGATGAATCTAATTAAACGAAAACGCAACTCGCGACTTAATTGTTTCGGAATCTAGCCCTTAAAATACTACAATAAGCCCCACCTAACTGAATTCGCAATAAAGTTAGTAAGAATTCAGAACTTAATTAATTATAACATCCCGCAAGATATGCTGTTTTACAAAAGTTAACCGCAATCCTAATTTGTGTCAGATCAATAATCTTTAATTAATTCAAGGTTCAAAAATTTATGCAAAATTATTTAATTGTGTAATATTATTTTACCGCGGAACAGTTTCTCTGAATTTTGACTCTATGACTACTAGCACATTCACCCTTTTTGTTAAAACGTGAATCGACACCCAACCCAGATCGCTTAATTAGGGAGCCCGCTTTCGCTAGCTACTATTACCCAGTGATCAAGTATCCAAATGGCTGATACCCGCTGTCCAGTCAAGGCATAAGAATCTTTTTAGTTACTTACCAGCAAAAACTGTTCCGGTTTGGTAACATTATTTTTATATTTTTGGTTTACCCCACGTTGGGCGCTAATTTTGTAAATGTTATTGTTCTGGGGTTATGTAAAATAAAACACACTTGTACAGTTAATCAGATTGATAGCTATATTTATAAGTGGAAAAATATACGATGAAAGAACCTATGTTAGAATTCGGTGTATACAAGACGGACGCACGGTTAGAACTAAACTAAAAAGAAACTGCAACGACAGTACATGTCTGTACCTGGAGTGCTTGCAGGCCCCCAGACCCTAATTAGACAATGACTTCCAAGGATGTAGGGTTTTCTAAAAACGGTTAAAGCATGGTCAAGGCTTTAGCTTCAACATATCTAATGCAGTACCTCATTGAAATGAAATAAATCAATTGCTGCGTACATTTAATTTTAAAAATACAAAAACATCTTAAATAAAACTTACCCATTGATTCATGAAGAAACTAAAATTGTGACACTTGATGAAAAAATGATAAAAGAACCTATGTTAGAATTCGGTGTATACAAGACGGACGCACGGTTAGAACTAAACTAAAAAGAAACTGCAACGACAGTACATGTCTGTACCTGGAGTGCTTGCAGGCCCCCAGACCCTAATTAGACAATGACTTCCAAGGATGTAAGGTTTTCTAAAAACGGTTAAAGCATGGTCAAGGCTTTAGCTTCAACAGTTATTATTATATTTTTTGCGAATCTTGTCTGATTTATACCCAGGTTGGGCGTCTATGTGTAAATGAAAACTAAGTTAACATAATTCAAATTTTACTCAGCATTTTAATCAGAGGGATTCGGGCCTCCAGGTACTACACAGCGCAGCGGAGTGGTCTGTTTGGTCGTTGAAGAAAGTTGGCAATGATTTATACAATAATAAATATCTATAAATTTATTTCGTTAAATCAGCATGGTTGTGTATAGATTTGGATATACAATATCACGCTCGCTTTGTTTATCGCAATACAGAAATTTGTAGTTGAACTTAGAACGATTGCGTTATTTTATGAACAAACAATTCGTTTATCTCTCAAAAAGTTTTCTCACAAATAATTACTCCCGCACATACACCAATGTGTTTTCTATCAAATTTAATGATTTCTAAGATATTAACGTGTAATGGCGCATAGAAAAGGGATTGAAACGTCTAAGAGAAATAGATTGGTAGAATAAATATGTTGTTGGAGTCAATATCTTGGTGGAAATTACGATTGAGGATCGTCGCAGCGTCTTTTACACTCGGCCGAAAAATCGGGGGGAGTTGTTCCGGTGGAGCATATATAAATATATTGTATATATTTGTTAAGGTTAAGGTGGAATATCTTTATAGACGTGATGCGGACAGTAGCGTGGACTTTATTAGAATGAATATAAAAAATGAGCAACGCAACTTCCCTTTCGGTGGTACACGAAGTTAGTTGCTACAAGTATGCAACTGCATATAAATAAAAGGTATAGAGGCTTGCCAATCGTAAAATATAGACTAACACTCCCTCTTAAGCCTCTGAACGCCATATTTTAACGTTTACATTTTCTTTACATTTTCACTTTTGTTCCGAAATAAGAATAATAAGTCTAGGCACGTCTAAGCCTTGTTACATCGCTGCGTACACGCGTTAATCCCTCCCGCACGGGATTAGTCCTACCGCCACGCCATCGACCGGATAAAGGTTCAATTTTGATTACCGTTCAACTTTAAAATATCATTATCCGTGTGAACTTTGCAGAGTCACAACGTTAGCCGTGTTTCCTCCCGATTTTTCAACTAACTTTTGTTATCCGAATTGATTATTATCGTTATCGTCGTCCAGTGTCTGTCGTGAGTGTCATTTATTAAATAACTGTGTGAACGTGTCAAATGAGTATTCTTTATTTCATCATCTTTTCGTGAGTTTTGTCCTAAACCCGCCTGTGCTCCGTCTCCTTGTTAGGAGAGAACTAGCGATCCACTGACCACTCGGCCAACTTGAGACAATTCGTTGGATACCGTGGTCAAGAAACAACTTTCTTAAGCCTAAGTTTCCAATACATAACGTATGAGTCGAATTCGGGAGACCTTTCGTCAGCACGTCAGCTGGCATTTGCTTCGAAGGCATGTACTTCAAGTTTACGAGGTTTTTCTCGACGGCTTCTCGCACGAAGTGGTGTTTTACGTCTATGTGCTTGGTCCTTGAATGAAAAACGGGGTTTTTAGCTAATTCTTGAGATCCCTGGTTGTCGTTGAAAATGGTTATTGGACTTATATCTGATTCTGTTGTTTCACTCATGAAGCGCTGAACATGTATCGCTTCCTTCACGCAATCGGAAAGAGCCATGTATTCCGATTCAGTCAACGACAGAGCGACAGTCTGTTGCTTTCTTGATTCGCAGCTCGTAGCTGCATTTGCAAGAATGAAGGCGTAGCCGGTGTACGAATTTCTATCCTTTATACAAACCCTGAGATATGCGAATCGATCATTAAACATCTAGCCGTTTCGCATAGCATTCGACTTTTACGCTCGGTAACTCCGTTTTGTTCTGGAGTGTGTGGTACGGTTAGTCGTCGCTTAATTCCTTGCACCGAAAGAAAAACATCAAATTCGCGATTACAATATTCTTTCC